TATTTTGTAGATACCTACATATTGCTTTTTTGGTGRAAAGACCAACTAAGGAAACCTTCAAAAACCAAATTTTACAGGGGATACTAAAATAGTAATAACTTTGTTCCGAATTGATCTTTTTTGATTGATTTTTTTTTATATCATTATATAGAATAATCCAACAAGCACGCTCGAACCATTTCTCGTTGATAATTAATTTATTAAAATTTTAATTTTTGGAATTTTCAAGTATACACTAGAGAATCTTATGGTCATGATCGCCCTGGAACATAGTATTATAAAAGAAATTGAAAATAAATGTAGATAGAATAGGTACTTTGCACGCTGCTATAACGTTTGCAATATTAGCCACAATATTATATACGATACATTCTGATTGCACATCAATATACTTGATATATTGGAAACAATAAGCTGCATAAACAAATATTAAACAACATCACCGCAATTATTTAATAATAATATACGAGTACTCGTACATAATACTTATCGTCGTACTCGATAACGTTTATTATTATATTTGCTCAACAAATAATAAATCTTTGGCACAACAAAAAAATTAAGAAATCTTTTATTGTACCTTCTTACGTATTTTATCAAAAAACATTACCCATATGTTATATATGAGCTCAATTACTCAAGTTATCCTCAACTCTCAAGTAACTTATTCCCTTCAAACGACGGTCTTAAAACAAATTGTGTTTTCAGTAGTATAAACGTTTTTTTTACGTGATCTTAATACATCTCCAAATAGTCGTCTATATTTTTCATAGTTATTCCAGGAATGATACTTTTTAAAAAATTTAACAGAATTACAAAAATATTAACGTATCGCGTGATATTAATATTGAAATATCCAGATTGAAATTTGTACCGAAATATAACAACAAAACATAAGAATAGCTAGTGGTGTAATAYATTGACATGTTATATAATATTTTATGCAACATAAATATGAGACTTATATTAATAACGTTAATTTAATTCAACCGTTTTGTGCAGAGATTTAGGACAAATTATAATACCTGAAAATATTCTCAAAGAACAAATAGCATTTTATAACAAATTTCGGGAGATCTGTTTAAACATTTATTTTTTTGCTATAACAGGTATCGTCTAAAACGTTGATTTTATTCTTTCCCGTGCACAAAACTTATATCTCGAAATTAAAACACTGTAACCATTGTAATCACCCCGTAGAATGATGGTTGAGAGATTTTCCTCTGAAACTATTAGTGGTCGAATCGCATATTTCATTGCTGCCRTCCGCGAACGATCGTCCTAAGTTTAGTAAATTAATTAATGGATTTAATTAAAATAATCAAAGGACTGAACCCTAGCTTCTCTTCGTCCTCACAATAATTTTTCGCGACAGCCATACACAATAATGATCCCAAGCTCTGAAATGAGAAATGATTATGCGATTGCCGGTGGAATTCTGGACGGCAATCTGATGAGACTCGGACAATCGAACGTGTTGACACGGCTCACTTGACTACAGATAGTATTGTACTACCATCTTTAATCATATTTTATTAATCGACAGAATTTCATATAATTTTGTTGAACATCTATTAAAATGCAAAAAATATTAAGAACAATCACTTTAATAATTAATTCCTATAATAATATTATTCTAAAGATTTTTTTTTTTCTAGAAAATGGATTCGAAATTTTGGTTTTCATGAAATTATTTTTCAGTAGGTATAACGTAAAGATAATTCTCGCTACGCGTAAAGCAAGAAAGTGCTACTAGTTACTATAACTACAGTAATAATACCTATAATATGTATCAATAACAAATAATTATAATTTATAATATTATACCTAATTAATTTAACATAATTTAAAATATTCTATAAAACATGTACCTATATTGCCTACACAGTACGCCGTGTAAYACCATATGATTAAATTATTAAAGCCGTACGAAAGACATAATATTCTAGTCTCTRGGGAAATAAAATAAAAAATGGTTTTTTGGTACTTTTTACCGTAACCTGTCAAATTGTGTTCTCGAAAAATAATAATAATAATAGAAGTAGAAAATATTTCAAGCAAAACATGTTATCGTATTTTGTTTACTATGCTTTAAAAACTTGCATTTCGTGCGGCCGTGAGGTCGTTTGTATGCAGGCATTTATAAAGCTTTTAAATTTAAAACTAAAAAACGCTTATTGAACCTAGTTCAGCTAGTTATACTTCTGATTTCATTGTATTCGTTTAATAAATTTAATTGACACTAACATTAATAAACTAAAGTTTCAGCGGTCGTGAGGTTAGTAAAGTATTGCAAATAACAAAGTCTATAATTATGTAATATGACAAGAAAATTATTAGAAAAATAAATATTTTTATAACATGCCACAGTAGGGGTAGAAACATCCAAAAAAAAAATGTAATTTTAATAAAATACTAGAAGTTTTCCGAAACGACTGGTACATTTTATACTACCGAAATTCACAAGTGAAAAAATCAACGTCTTTTTCTGCATCAACATTGCAACCCACTACTGTAAGGCCATCTACTAACGGACCTACTCAAAATAATATTATTTCACTAATCATTCGATGTTGAGTTGTTACCTATCACCTATGTAATCAAATGGAAAGCCGCAAACGACGCAACTGGTTAATAATAACAAGTTACTAACGTATTAATGATAAGTTTAAAGTGATTTATAACTGTCGAGTCACACTTGAAATGTGTCATTTTAGTGTTTTTCTGTTCAACGAAACTTTTTTGGTTTTGTAAGAATCAACGAACGAAAAATTAATTTAAAGTCGRTGTATGAAGTAGAAAAACATAACAGTAACACAGTGGTCAAACCCCTCTAATAATCCTAGAAGTAAATCTTCATTTTGCACAATTTTTTAGTAATTTGGAACTCTCGTAAAAAATAGTGCCGAATTTTTATATTTGAATACAAAATTATCGTTAACTAAGATTATAAAAAGTTTTTAAATCCTAATAATCGATATTGTTTAAAAAGATTATAGTACTAAATTTGTAAGTAAAAAAATATTGATTTATAGTTTAAATCAGTGCTTATTTTAACGTGCATTTAAACACGTTTTACTCAACTGTAAATGAACAATGTGCAACTCTAATTCAAGAAATACTAGTTGTAAATTATATCTAAAAATAAAATTTCTCTAATCTATCAGATTTGAAAAAAATGTACCATCAGACCTTGTCAAATCGCTTCAATTTCAAAATACTATCAAAATGTATTTACTACACTTGCAATAATATTGATTGCAAAACCATACAGTACAGACGTGGTAAGGCTGATTAGTACCAGTAACATATTAAAATCCATTGATTGTCAGGCTCTCAGCTTAGTGAGAATTATTATCTATACATACATTTAAACATGCCACAATGCAACCATTAATGTCATGRGCTCCATCAATGTCAAGGCCATCCATAGTTGAATTTATACATCAAATCTTTCAGTATGAGATACACCAAAAACCAAGCAAACATAGTTGTTTATGGGCGTATTTGAAGCTTCAAATTAAAATTTAAAAAATTCTATTGGTGGGAACGAAGAGGTTTTACCAAATATATATATATATATATACCTTAAATTGTAATTTTTATATTTTTCAAGTTTTTCAGTAGTATAGTATATTTTTCTTTATAAATTACCAAAACATACTACACAGAGAGTAATATTTTAGAGTTTGGGAAGGGAGTTTTGCACACTTCTAAAAATCCTTAAAATAAGCTCAGAAGCTCAGGTTTAAATAATCAAGTTTTGTCAAAATGTTTCTTTAAAATTTTATGATAAAAATAATTTTGAGTAACATGCATTTTCAGTGTTTTTAAATTTTATAAGAACTTAAGTGACRATACACTAACTAATTAGTTGATCAAACTGATTAGTTACATGTGAGCTGATTGTCATATTAAATAACTGGGAAGTCACCTGTGCGTTTCAACTATTGCATGACTGAAAATTTCCAGTCAGCAACCAGCCTAAGAGTTATGAAGAATCTTCAATAAATATTCCAAGCGTTTTGACTATAAAAATGTTAATTTAAAATGATGGAATCCTTAGAATTTTTGAAATTTTTACTTTTCTATAATGTGATGTAAACACCAAACAAATTTGTGGATTCTAACCAGAACAATGCAAAATAACAGTCAAGATTTTTAACTATTCAAATGGACTTTCAACTCAACGCTCATTAAAAAAATAAACTAAAATTCAAGTTTGTTTTACTACTGATATGAAATAAATCATATTATTATAAGATCTAATAACAAAAAGAAAAAAAAGTAACAGAAACTATTTTTGATTATAGAACATTCATACAAGAGATATTGTTAAACATAAAGGTTCTCAATTATGATTGGATTAGTCAATACTTAGGTCAAATAAACCTTAAACATATAGGATTGTCAAAATTGCTTGAAATCTGCTATTTGTATAGAAATAACAATAGTATGGAAATAATCAGTTAACAGATAAACATCATCACAAGATTTGCAGACTTAAGAATAATTATTAGAAACACAATACATGGACGTCTGTCATCTAAGACGCAATACATTTCAGATGTATTCTTGAATTAATGAAAATATATACTTCTCATCGGTTTTTAAATATTATTCTCAAAAGTCTAAGTCAATTAAAAAGTATTAAATAATGAAAAATACAAGTATTTCATTTACTAAATTTACCTTATTAATGGTATAATATTTAAGCACTGACAAATTATTTATTCTCTCTCGGCATACAAAATTACTGAAAAAATTGCAACCCGCATTTAAGATTTAGTTTTTCCACGGTTATTAACATTATTGGTTCTACAGAAAAGTCACTAAAACAACTAATAAATCAGAATGGACCTATATAATATTGTGTTATTATTTTATTTGATGTGGATAAGTCATAATAATTTACATAACAAAATTTTGTAATGGTAATTTGTTATTAAAAATATTAATTTTCAATGCTATAAATTTTATATAAAAAAAATAATGATAAATGTTATGCATGATAATATAATAATTTTATGAGATAAACATTTTCTTATTTCAACAAGTGCATATATACCTGTTCTTCTAGATGGCAACAAATGAAAAACACAAATATTTWGAAATTATAAAATTAAATTAGAGTAAAAAAATAGTTTATACATTTAAATATGTTTAGTAGAAAAAAATTAATAATTATAAATATAAAAATGTTTTATTTACGCTTGATGCTTATAAGCGCAATGTAAAAAACATCTCCAGTTGTATGGTTCGTTTTTAACTTTATTTTGTTCTTTTTACTTAAAATTAGATTGTTTAAAAAARTGTCAAAAAAAATTTTGTTTACTACAAAAAATTAATAAAAATAATAATAATTAAAAAAATCGAAAACATAAAAAATAACGATAGAATCATGACTTGTCTTTAACATCAACCAACTTGAGTCTCTCTGCCATTTCTTTTTGAGCAGTTTCTTCAGGCACAACCAAGTCGTTGCACTCAATTTCAGACACACTATGATACCTGAAATAAGGGGAGAAAATTAAATCTAGTTTTAATCAAAATATTATAAGTATTTTAAATAAAAATGCTCGCATATGTATATGTTGTGTCCTATGGTTTTATAAGTGTGTAACATAGTAAATACATTTTTTGTAGTTAGCATTCATTAAATAGTATTTAAATTTTGAAGCAAAAATAAATTCATGACAAAAAATGTATAGATAAAATTAAACATAATAATAAATATTAGTATTATMGATTTTGTTAGAATCATTATTATTATAATTTAGTAGAAAAAAATGTCATGCAACTGAATATCAAATTTAATTGTTGGTTTGGACTTATGATTGAAACTTATGTTATATGGGTTCAAAATAGGATACCAGAAACTATACATACACATAGGTGAATAAATCATAATACAGACATGTTCAATTGTTATTTTAATATATTTTATGATTATAAAGTTATTAGGTTGGGAGTAGTTTGGCTACTTTGGTATCTAAAAATGAATAGAAAGCAGAATATATTTAATTTACATAAATAAAATGTCCTAAATATTGACCCAAATAAATAAATATATTAAATATATAATAACTCAACCTACATAGAATTTAAGTTTTATATATCTTTAAGTCTTTTTGAATATTTAACAATATAAATAACACATAAACATACCTGGCAGACTTGTACTTTGATCGAATAGCAGACTGTTGGGAATGTGGAGCATTTTTATAAGTATGGTTTAAATGTCTAAGAACAGGTATCAGATCATTTAAACTGTAATTAGTTAACTCAGCCATATCTTCAGGCCAAATAACTTCATAATCTAATATTAATCTAGCTAATGCAACAGCTCCACAGCCAATAATGGAAGGAGTATATGATAAGTAGGGATCAGCTTCTAATAAACTCATTTCACCCAAATACTAGAAACAGACAAGTCATATTTTAATATAATTGAAATTATTCAGAAATAAGAAAATATATTGAACAAATATCAAAACTTACCATTGCTAAGTACATAACTTTCAACGGAACATTACAATGAACGCAAATATGTGTTAAGAAAATAATAGTTGTGGGATTTGATACATCAAACCCTAAAACTTTCAATATTAATTGTTCCATTTTAAGTACTTGTTTCTTTGTRTAAGTGTCATCAGTTATATAAACAAATTCACTAACATCTGGAGGATAAATTTCTTCATATTTCCTATTCAAAAAATGTATAAACAATATTACTTATTAGACATTACGTATATGAGAAATAATTGAAAACTTACGATGCAACAAACATGGCAGCAGTACCCAACAATTGGAGTTTAGCACGGACAACAGACATTAAACTAAGGAAACGATCAATAAATGAAACAGCTAAGTACAAAGTTTCATTTTGTAGCTTGTATTCTTGTGCTACTTCAACCAACCAATCCACTAATATTGCCCTCATGCTGTATGTCACGTCTGGCTGCCTTCTCATGTATCCAGGTTTAGGACGATGTAATTTCTATTAATCAAAAAAATTTTGGATTAGTAATATCGATAAAAACTGAATAAAACATCTTCCATTACCTCAACATCTCTGAGATAAAAGTATAACTCGCACGTGTAAGTGTCTATATCACAACTTAACCTGTTTGCAGTTAAAGAATGACAAGTACTTTGTATTGACTTATCATTATCAATAGACATAGGTGAATAAACATTGCTTGAATCTACTGATTTATCAATATCCTTAGTGTCTTTTTCATCTGTTTTTACTTCATTTTTTACAGATGGTAGAACAATTTGGCTTACATCAGACAATGGTTTTCTTTTCTCTTTCAATAATTCTATCTTGGGTTGAGTGACCTGTTGAACAAATATATTAGAATATAATATAAATAATCTTACATTTATAAATTAGATTATTTTAATATATTATTAGTTATTACCTTTGCTTCATTGATATTAGTTTCATTCTTGAGTAGCAGAGGCTTCTGATTTTCTACATTGTTTCTTGACACGGTTTCACTAGCAGCCGCTTTTTTATTTACTTCTGGATCTTCATGAATAGTAAAGGGCACTGATGATTTAATAGGAAAACCAAATTTATTGGTTCCTTGAGGCTAAAATAAAATAGTATTATTAATAAACTACTCTGTATTATTTTATACCATTTAACTACATGAAAATATGTCACCACTATAAACAAGAATTAATATTTTTGTTGTTTTTCAATTACCTTGYTTAGATTACTAAAATTAACTTTCCTACTAAAATTATAAAATATTAAGTTAATATATATATTTAAAAAACATCCCCAAAAACACCTATAAATTAACAGATAGATATAATAACCTGTACAAAAATACATGAATATCATGATCTATTAAAATAAAACATATC